AACCAGGCAGCTCAAAGTGTAGGTGTGCAAGTAGTTCGTGTCCAGACATGACAACATGCACGTCTACACACCTCAGTGTGTTTTTCCTCTGGGCTGAAGAGAAAAAGAAAGAAAAGAAGTGTTTAAACTTTAAAGGAAGGGTTGTGTGGGAGGAGAGAGATCACCCAGTCCTGCATGAGGGACGGACAGAAGAGAGAGGGATTAGAGAAGGAATGGAGATAAACAGAAGAAGGCAGTAAAGGTGAAAGACTGATAAGAAATGGATGAACAGAGCTGCATGAAAAGGCAGAACCCCTCCATCTGTCAGTTCGTTTCATAAACATCTCTCTGATAAAGTTAACGTAATCAGTCGACTGACAGAAAAATAATCTACTATTTGGATATCTTGACTTGTAGCGTTTGCTGGTACCTCAGTATCTTCGCGATATAAATATGTGAAGATTCAAATCAGTGAGATGAAAAATGACATTAACAGCAGAAAGCTACTTTTCCTCGTTTGATGTCCTACATCACTCACGTCTGTACGTGTATGAAGGCGCAAAGACATGGCGGCCACAGGGGAAGACTTTGAGGGAAAATTGAGGGTTAATGAAATCATCTGTTAATGCATATTGAAAATAATAGTTGTTGTCCAACATGGAAGAGACTGTTGGTCGGGATAATGATATTAGTTTTTGTGATTTATAATGTCTGTTATTTTCCTTATGTGTAGAACCAAGATCATTACACTGTGTTCCAAATTATTATGCATATACTGTTTTTGTTCTTTTTCTTACTAAATAGTCCATATAAATCCAAATTATTATGCAAAACAGAGTTTCAAAACACTTAACAGTTTCTAAAGGATTGAAAACCGAAATCTGTTGTGAATTTTAGCATTAGAGGGTAATTCTTCTCAAATCAAAGCTATTCCAATCAAAAACATCTTTACAGATCGAGCTACATATTACCATAGGAGCCCTTCTTTGATATCACCTTAACAACTCTCTCATCCATTGACCTTTTAAGTCCATGTACAGTTTCTGCCTGTATTTCCTTTGAGGATGCCAGAATTGCCTCCCAGAGCTGCTGTTTTAAGGTAAACTGCCACCCACCCTCATAGAGCTTCCTTTTAAGGATGCTCCACAGGTTCTCAGTAGGGTTGAGGTCAGGAGATGATGGTGGCTACACCATGATTCTTTCTCCCTTAATGGCCATAGCAGCCTAGGCCTCAATGGTATTTGTTGCAGCATGGGATGGTGCGTTGTCTTCCATGAAAATGATTGTACTCCGAAAGGCACGGTTCTTCTTTTTATACCATGGCCGGAAATGGGCAGTTAGGAACTTCATATATTTTGCGGAGGTCATTTTGACACCTTCAGACACCTTAAAGGGGCCTACCGACTCACTTCCCATGATTCCAACCCAAAACATCACTCCACCACCTCCTTGCTGACGTCACAGCCTTGTTGGGACATGGTGGCCATCCATCAACTATCCAGAACTCCATCCATCTGGACCATCCAGTGTAGCACGGCATTCATCAATTAATTTTTTTTTTTTTTTTTTTTTTTTTTTTTTTTTTTTTTAATTTTTTTTTTTTTTTTTTTTTTTTTTTTTTTTTTTTTTTTTTTTTTTTTTTTTTTTTTTTTTTTTTTTTTTTTTTTTTTTTTTTTTTTTTTTTTTTTTTTTAAATTATTTTAAATTTTTTTTTTTTTTTTTTTTTTTTTTTTTTTTTTTTTTTTTTTTTTAATTTTTTTTTTTTTTTTTTTTTTTTTTTTTTTTTTTTTTTTTTTTTTTTTTTTTTTTTTTTTTTTTTTTTTTTTTTTTTTTTTTATTTTTTTTTTTTTTTTTTTTTTTTTTTTTTTTTTTTTTTTTTTTTTTTTTATTTTTTTTTTTTTTTTTTTTTTTTTTTTTTTTTTTTTTTTTTTTAAAAAAAAAGGTAAACCTTTTTTTTTTTTTTTTTTTTTTTTTTTTTTTTTTTTTTTTTTTTTTTTTTTTTTTTTTTTTTTTTTTTTTTTTTTTTTTATTTTTTTTTTTTTTTATTTTGTTTTTATTTTTTTTTTGTTTTTTTTTTTTTTTTTTTTTGGGGTTTTTTTTGTTTTTTTTTTTTTTTTTTTTTTTTTTTTTTTTGGTTTTTTTTTTTTGTTTTTGTTTTTTTTTTTTTGGTTTTTTTTGTTTTTTTTTTTTGGGGGGGGGGGGGGGTTTTTTTTTGTTTTTTTTTTTTTTTTTTTTTTTTTTTTTTTTTTTTTTTTTTTTTTTTTTTTTTTTGTTGTTGTTTGGAGGGTTGAGATGTAGGGGGGGGGGGGGGGGGGGTTTTAAAGGAAACATTTATTGGGTATGGGTTTGGGGGGGGGTTTTTTTTTTTATTTTTTTTTTTTTTTTAATTCAACCAATTTTTTCTTTTTTTTTTTTTTTTTTATTTTTTAACCTCTAATTTTTTTTTTTTTTTTTTTTTTTTTTTTTTTTTTTTTTTTTTTTTTTTTTTTTTTTTTTTGGTTTTTTTTAAGATTTGGGGTTTTTTTGTTTTTTTTTTTAATAATATTTTTTTTTTTGTTTTTTTTTTCCCTTTCCTTTTCCCCTCTTTTTTTTTTTTTCTCTTTTTCTTTTTTTCTTCTTTTTTTCTTTTTTTTTTGGTGGTCGCCGGTCCCGCTTTCCTCCTTCTTTTTTCCTACTCCCCCGGTTTATGGTTTTTAATTAATAATATTAGAAGTTTTTTTTTTTTTTTTTTTTTTTTTTTTTTTTTTTATTTTTTTGTTTTTTGGTTTTTTGTTACATCCTATCACAATTTTCCTTTAAATTTTTATTTTTGTTTTTTTTTTTTTTTTTTTTCCTTTTCTTTGTTTTTCCTTAACTTTCCTTTTTTTCATTTCCCTTTTTCCCCTTAATTTTTTTTTTTTTTTTTTTTTTTTTTTTTTTTTTTTTTTTTTTTTTTTTTTTTTTTTTTTTTTTTTTTTTTTTTTTTTTTTTTTTTTTTTTTTTTTTTTTTTTTTTTTTTTTTTAAATTTTTTTTTTACCCTATTAACATTATTTTTATTTAAATTTAATTAATTTTTTTTTTTTTTTTTTTTTTTTTTTTTTTTTTTTTATTAAAATTAATAAATAAATACCCCAACCTTAATCCCCCCCCCCCCCTCCACTAATATTTTTACCTTTTTTTTATTTTTTTTTTTTTTTTTTTTTTTTTTTTTTTTTTTTTTTTTTTTTTTTTTTTTTTTTTTTTTTTTTTTTTTTTTTTTTTTTTTTTATTTTTTTTTTTTAAATTTTTTTAATTTTAAAAAAATAAAAAAAAATTTAAATTTTTTTTTTTTTTTAAAAATAATTTTTTTTTTTTAGGGGGGGTGGTGGGGTGGGGGGGGGATAATTTTTTTTGTCCCCCCCCCTCAAACCTTTTTTTTTTTTTCCCCCACTCTCCTTTTTTTTTTTTTTTTTAAAAAAATTTTTTTAAAATTTTTAAATTTTTTTTTTTTTTTTTTTTAAAAATATTTTTATTTTTTTTTTTTTTTTTTTTTTTTAAAAAAAAAAAAAAAAAAATTTAAATATTTTTTTTTTTATTTTTTTTTTATTTTTTTATTTAAAAAAAAAAAAATGTTTTTTAAAAAAAAATTGGTTGAGTTTGTTTTTTTTTTTTTAAAAGGGGGGTTTTTAAAAAAATTTTTCTTCAAAAAAATTTTTTGGGATAAAAAAAAAGAGCACAATATTTTTATAAATTTGGTAAAAAATATAATAAAAAATAAAATATTTTTTTTTTAAATTGTTTAAAGGTATTTTTTTTTTTTTAAAAAAAGGGTGTTACAGGGTTAATAAAACTGTTAAATAATTAGTCTTCATGTATTTCTGAGCCCACTGCAATCATGTCTCCTTGTGGGCATTGTTTAGGGGTGGCTGAAATACAGCTTTATCCACATCAGCAAGACTCTGGAGGCTCCTGCATCGAGAGGCTCTTGGGACTCCAGAGGCACCAGCAGCTTCAAATACCTGTTTGCTACTCATCAGTGGCTTTTTCACAGCTGCTCTCTTAATACGATGAATTTGCCTTACAGAAACTGTCCTTAACTTTATCTGAACGAACCCGTCTGTGCTCTGAATCAGACACAAATGTTTTCATGGATGGATGGATGGATGGATGGATGGATGGATGGATGGATAGATAGATACTTTATTTATCCCAGGGGAAATTCACAGGAAGATGATCTCTCTTAATATTTCGTGAAATATCCAGTGTTTTCATACCTTTTGCAAGATACTGCACTATTTCACGCTTTTCATCTGCAGAAAGATCTTTTTTTCCACTATATTACATGAAACCTGTGACATTCTTAATAATGTGGAACAACATCCGTAAGTAGTTTCCTGTTAATTAGGCTCACCTGGCAAACTAATAAAGACAAACCTGTCTGAGATTGATTTCAGTGATTTAAACAGACATGGGAAGCAGCACAATTGAAAACTTTCATTGAAAAACAAAAAATCTAATGTTTGTTTAATTGAAATCATATTTGCATAATAATTTGGAACACAGTGTAATATGCGTATAAAAAGGGAAAAGGAGAAAAGATTTTGAGGGGAGACTACAAGAGATAAATTGCATTCAAATAAATGAGTAAAGTGTCTTAAATAAGTTCCTTTGATAATTGATTCCCATTTAAAACAGTGACTAAAATGAGCACACGATTAAAATAATGACCTTTAAAAAGACAATTAGGTTATTGGAGGGGGGTGTCTCTGCATGCTGTGACCTCTAACCCCTGATCTGGTTACCTTTTTGAAATGTAAAGATTATGATTGAGTTGTTGGTGCAGTGATTCCTGGTCAGTATAAATAGCCATTGGTCCTTGAATGGAGCTTTGTCACTTGTCCACCTCTTCCTCTCTCACTGTTGTCCTGTTGATAGAGAAGGAATGTTTCACCTCCGGCAGGAGTCTGTCGGATAAATCTGACTTGAAGTCTGTTCTTCAAAAGTCCTGAACTAAATGTACAGTGTGTCTCTTTCTTCATTTAATTCTTGTGTCTCTGTCCAGCTGCAGGTCAGAACCCGGACCACGTCCTGCAGGGGACGGGGGTGAAACCTGAGGCTCGGCGACCTGACGAGGACTCGACCATTGCGCCTGAGGACGCCGCCCGTTTCCTCAGCTGCTACTGCTCCGGACACTGTCCTGAGGACGCCACGAACAACACCTGCCAGTAAGTAGAGACAGTAGAATACAGTACACCAAACTGAGGGCCCCAAAACAGTCCGTCTAACACGGAGGACAGAACAACTCAGTAGAAACAAGCTGGTGGTGATGGAACCGAGGACAGTTTGGTCAAATCATGATCTGTGTGTCTGTCTGTGTGTGTCCTCAGGACCAACGGCCAGTGTTTTGCCATCATCGAGGAGGATGAGCACGGTGAGGCCATCCTCACCTCCGGCTGCATGAAGTATGAAGGCTCACACTTCCAGTGCAAGGTACACTCGCACTCACTGTTTACACACAACAATAAGGTTCAGGCAGAAAATCAGTGTGTACCTGCTGTCACTACTGAGACTTTACTGAATTTAAATAATATATATATATAGCGTGAACTAGTAAAAATAATTTATTCATCAGAAACTGAAGTGCAAAACAGAACTCTGTTTAAATAAATAATTTTGTCTCATCTGCTAGTGTTTTGTTCAAAAAAAATTATCTTGGGGCTTTTAAGTTTAAGAATCACAGAATAACTCGTAGGAATAATAACCTAGGATTTATGAGATTGCAGCTTGTTTTCCATACCGTGGCGCTCTGATGGGGAAATGAATTATCTGAGGAGCTGTATGAGAGAACAAAGCTTGATTCATGACTGCAGGAATTGGTTATGACAGACTTAAATCATCACTGTGTCAAATCTGCATTTTCAGTTGCTGTGCTATTGTGAGGACATTATTTTATGTGGAGAGAGCATGTCAAGAAAATATGTAATTTATGTCTAAACAGTATCTTTGAATAAGCTCAGTGTGTGTTTATATCTCTGCCTGAATGCCATCTCCATAACTGGTTAGGACTCTGCAGATATTCCTAAATATTGACTAAGACAAGTCATTTCCTAAGTTAGTAAGCTTATTTGTACTCTGAGGTCTGGAAGTAGAGCCATGTGTGTCTCAACTATGGCTGCAAGTAACGACTATTTTCATTGTCGATTTAATCAGTCTACCATTTTTTTTTTTTTTTCAATAATCGTTTAGTTGTTTGGTCCAATCAGAACATTGTGAAAAATGATCACTGTTTCCCAAAAACCAAGGTGACATCCTCTGATGTGTTGTTTTGTCCACAACCCAAAGATATGTAATTTACTTAATAGTTGACAACTGATTAATTGACTAATTGTTTCAGATTTAGTCTCAACACAGTTTTCAGCCAGTTAGGAGTAATTTCCTACACTCAGACACTTAAATACAGGCTCTGGTATTTAAATGGTACACAGGGCTTTTCATAAAGATATGGAGTAGCCAACTCGCAGGGCTGGGACATGCCATGTTGCGTACTATTTTTTTTCAAGCCCAAATTTGATGGCCTTGAGCACATTATAATGCCATTGTACCATCATATAAACCTTATTATTGCATATAGCAATGTGGGCAGTAAGCAGGTTGGATTTAAGAATGAACATTACTCAATGAGAGATAACCAAAACTTACCCCTGATGTTTCCTGATAACAGTGTGATAAAGTGTTATCAGGGGTCATTAGCTACATTTGTCCAGGGGCCAAAGTCTTTCCAAGCAGTGGAGCTAACTATCCTAATAAGTCTATTACTGTTTAATATTTTCCCTTTCTTACAAAATGTATAGTATTTCCATTATCCTGTATCAGTGTGAACATGCATAAAAAAACATGGGAATCTATAATGATGAGTAGATACTTCTAGAAAATGCTGTCTGACCTCCACTAAGGAGGTAGTTAGTTGAGGAATGATTCTGATTGGCAGGAAATATGAATTAACTTTACCAGGTTTGACACCGTTATGCAGTTGTGCTGTTAATGTGTATGTGACACATGTAGTTACTGGTGATAAATGCAGTTTAACATCAGAATTCTGGGGCTGCTTGACAAACTATTGTTGTTTTAATAAAGAAGTCAGGCATTTTTCAGGGCTCCAGAGTGTGACAAAAATTTTTAAGAGTGCGACTAATAATTTTTCTAGGTCACACTGGTGCACCTGACGCTGCCCGGGTGAAAACATAAATTTATTTCGCAAGCGCATCATCTCTCTGTGTTCTCCTGTGACCGAACTCACACACTCATGGTAGGACCATATCGTGTTCTAAACCAATAAGAGACAGAGCTCGGGCGGGTCTTTGTCTCTGAGACCCAAATTAAAAAGGCCAAAATATTAGTCTGGAGCCCTGCATTAGCAGTAACTTCATGTATTATTTTCTCCAGGAATAAAGTAGCCGACTGGACTTCAATGAGTAGTCAGCTGTCAGACTGGCAGCTGCAGCTTATTGACAGCTTTGGGTACAGAAAGTGCCTGATCTAAAGAGCATAAGCTGTTCAGGTGAGGTCTAACTAATGGATTGTATGATCAACAGGACTCTCCCAATGCTCAGACCAGGAGGACCATCGAGTGCTGCAACACCGACTTCTGCAACAGAGACCTGCAGCCCACCCTCCCCCCTCAGGCTCCCGCCGGTAACATTTACCCTAACCAGGCCGAGCGATTCAAGTGTTTATCAAGTCAATGTAAACCCAAGTTAATCACACTTTTTTGTTTTTGTGTCCAGAAGGTAGCCCTCACTGGCTGGCCTTCCTCATCTCCATGACGGTCTGCTGCTGCACTCTGATCTGTATCACCGTGGTCTGTTATTACAGGTAGGACATCACCTGGATCCACAGCACCTCACAGGACCTCAAATAACCCAAACATCATTTTAAGACTTGCTGCAGTTGACTCAGTCATTCTCATTCAATAGGTTTAAATTCTACATTTCATTGTTACAAATTGTTCATAACTTCAGCTTAAAGGTTTGAAGAATGTTTCAAATGTTATTAAATGCAACTTAATGATATATTTAATTATATATTTAATGATATATTTTGCTGAAGTTTTTTAATACTGAGGGGCCTCGTCATCCATTACAATTCTTTCAAGAATCTGTTTAACAGTCAGACGAAAAGATACTCTTTATCTGCAGAACTTGCCTGGGAATCCTCATGTTTTTTTAGTTTTCGTCAGTATCAAACTAATACAGATGTCTGTACATCCAACAGCAGCTGCTAATAGCTAATACAGCAAACCTTTATGGAAACTTACTGAACTGAAATGTACTTCACCTGCCAGGTTACCTTTTAATAAAGCTGATTATTAGACTGCAGTAGAAACCTGCTTTCCCTCAGGTAGAAGTGACTGAGTTGTGATACAGCAAGTAAACTTTCTATATTTAAAAATCTAATAGTCTGTGTGTGTCTGTGTGTGTCTGTGTGTGTCTGTGTGTGTCAGGTATAAGTGGCAGAGTGAGCGTCAGCGGTATCACAAAGATCTGGAGCAGGAAGTGTTTATCCCTGTTGGAGAGTCACTCAAAGACCTCATCCACCAATCACAGAGCTCAGGCAGTGGCTCTGGGCTCCCCCTGCTGGTAAGGACATCACACTGCACATTATGTGAACTATACACATATAAATACTTACATTATAGATAGATTTAATACTGGAAAAACATACTGACCAATTCAACATTAGAAGGAAAATATGTAAATGTAAATCACACACTGCATTTTGTTTTACATGGTCTACTCATCTCTTTAGTGACTAAGCATGGATTATGCAGTTTGACAAACATATTTATACAGGAACAAAATAATAAATACAGAATACAGAAGATAAACCTTTCATTTGTCTCCTCATTCACATTATTAATTAATTACATTTTTCAATTCAGTTTTATTTGTATAGCGCCAATTCATAACAGAAGTTATCTCAGGAAACTTTCCATATAGAGCAGGTCTAGACCGAACTCCTTATAACATTAATTACAGAGACCCAACAGTACCACCATGAGCAAGACCTTGGCGACAAGGGCAAGGAAAAACTGCCTGTTAAAAGGCAGAAACCTAGGACAGATCCTTCGGCTCTAGGTGGGTGGTCGTCTGTCTCGACCAGTTGGGGTGTGAGAGAGAGAGAGAGAGACAGACAGACAGACAGACAGACGAGCATGACAACAGCAACAATGGGGGACAATGAGCAGTGACAATAGTAAGCAGGACCATGAGAGGAGGCTCCACCAGGATCCATGAGAACCTGTGAGACGAGAAAGCACAAGAACTCCGGGGAAGAAGTGAAGTTAGTAACATGCATTAATGGAACATGAATGAGTGCAGAAAGAGAGAGAGAGGAAGAGAGGAGCTCAGTGCATCATGGGAAATCCCCCGATAGTCTAGGCCTATAGCAGCATAACTAAGGGATGGTTCAGGACTCACCTGATCCAGCCCTAACTATAAGCTTTATCAAAGAGGAATGTCTTAAGCCTACTCTTGAATGTGGTGAGGGTGTCTGCCTCCCGAACCACAACTGGAAGCTGGTTCCACAGGAGAGGAGCTTGGTAACTGAAGGCTCTGGCTCCTGTTCTACTTTTAGAGACTATAGGAACCACAAGTAGCCCAGCATTCAGAGAACGTAGTGTTCTAGAGGGGTAATAGGGGGGTTATTTATCTGTAATCTGTAATTAATCTGCCTGTTGTCTTCCTGGTTAATTGATTGGTTTGTAAAATAGTGACAAATTGAAGGAGGAGGCACATTTTTACCATTGCTTTAAAAATGACTCAAACAATTAATTGATTATCAAAATATTTGTAGATTAATGTATTGATTAGTCAACTAACTATTACAACTTGGGCTCCATTTTGTGATCTGGATTAAAATATTGACTTCAAAACTCAACATGAACTGTGGAAGAACTTCCTGACTTGTTTCTGTGGCGTTTACCTTTTCTTGGTTTTCTTTTTAACCAAAATGTGTGTAGCGCTCTGTGCTACAAGCACATTTCAGACAGTGCTGAAAAACTATTGAGGTTCCATTTTAAGACAGAAGACTGAATGTATAAACCACCATGTGCCTCTAAAGCTCTTCAATGTCATCAGATTGTTGAGTTAGTTAGTTTGAGGTGAATCAGCTGGTTTGTTCTTCCTCGTTAGATTTTTGATAGAGACGAAAGTAATAATAAAACTCTGTCTCCCCTCTCTCCTCCTCCTCTCTCGCTCGCTCAGGTGCAGCGGACCATTGCCAAGCAGATCCAGATGGTGCGCCCGATAGGTAAGGGGCGGTACGGCGAAGTGTGGCTGGGCCGTTGGAGGGGAGAGAAGGTGGCCGTCAAAGTCTTCTTCACCCGAGAGGAAGCCAGCTGGTTCAGAGAGACGGAGATCTACCAGACCGTCTTGATGAGACACGAAAACATCCTTGGTACCAACTACATTTACCTCTTGCTTCTCTGAGACAACAGATTGTATAAAAGCACTGATTAGATCAAAGATAATCATTCTAGTCAAAATACCAAACATGTAGGCTTTTCTTCACATTTCTGTAAATCCCTGTTGTAACTGTAAGACTAAAAGAGGACATTTGTGACTAAAAGACAGTAACTTTAGATGATACACGCTTGATTCGACAAACTCATACTGCTGACTCCTCATAGAGAGAAACTTCAGATAAACTTTAAAGTACATTCTGTCCTCCATCTCTTCCACTGAAAGCACATTAGTAATGGATCTTGTAATGTCCAGTATGAGCAGGAGGAAGAATTTCATTGTGAGACAGATTTGAAAATCTGTGAACTTGTCCTTTAAATGCAATAACAAACAGCAGAAAACTCAATGAAAACCTGAACTGTGAGCTCAGAGTGCCAGACGCTGTCAGAGCAGCCGAGCCCAAAGACGGCAAGACTCCAGGGCCGATCAATACCTTGATTGATTTTTAATTTGGTTGATGATTGAAACTAATGACAGCGAGCGTCGTCTGTCAGACTGATGAGACATGACGCCGCTCTGATGTACTGAGGAAACACTAATTCATTTAGTGTGTGTGTGTGTGTGTGTGTGTGTGTGTGTGTGTGTGTGTGTGTGGCTTTCATAAGATGACAGAGAAAGTTAACAACATTAAAATACGATTAAAAAGGGCAGAATTATAGGAATACATTTAAAATAGGCCAACTTTAAGTAAGATTCAATAAAAGCAAGGTTAAAAGTCCTTTTGGGAATCTGAGGGGAGGGGGCAAAAAGTCCTTGAGTGTTTTTGACAATAGACCTAAATAGACATGAGTTAAGGTTTTGAATGCACTGGCTGCAGTTTTTATACGTTTCTTTCCTCAGCAGTGGATCACCTGTCAATCATCTCTCTGTCCTTCCTGCAGGCTTCATTGCCGCTGACATCAAGGGCACCGGCGCCTTCACGCAGCTCTTCCTCATCACAGACTACCACGAAAATGGCTCTCTGTACGACTACCTGAAGCTGACCACGCTGGACACGCAGGCTCTGCTGCGACTGGCGTACTCCGCCGCCTGCGGCCTCTGTCACCTACACACCGAGATCTACGGCACGCAGGGCAAACCGGCCATCGCCCACCGAGACCTCAAGAGCAAGAACATCCTGATCAAGAAGAACGGCACCTGCTGCATCGCTGACCTCGGCCTCGCCGTCAAGTTCAACAGGTGAGCTGGCTACAGTTATATCGTACAGTCTGGATGTTGTCGTTCTACAGTAACCTATAAGGCTTTTTTGATTATTTTATTAAAAAAGTTCACTTCTATACAAAACCAATAATGCAACATTCTAAATAAAACAAACAACTTTATACATCATGTATGTGAAATCAAGCTACAACATGGGACTCATACTTACCTTGTCTGTTCATTGGGCATTGATTAATAGATTATTGCTGAAGGGGCTATTAACAGTTTTCAGATCGGATCACCGCAGAGCACCAGCATCTCAGACAACATATGAGTGAATGCTACGGCCCACCAGACTCCATTGACAAAACACAAATTTTACCTCCCAGATCATAAAACGCACTTCATTCAAACTCGACAGGAACAAAGTAAAACTCACCACAACCGTCTTTGTTAGTCTTTCCACTCTTTCAACAATCATCAACTTTGGTTTGGTTGAAATAAACCTGAGTAGATAAGAAAATGCCCACATAACAGGCTGCTATGGCTGTCATGTAACATTAGCTATCCTTGGGGACAAATGCGGCATCAAAGTATGTCCACTTAAAGCCAGTGGCTCAGATTGTTATTATTAAGAGTCTGAAAACATAATGCAAAGGATCCCTACAGAGATAGTTGAGTTCAACCAGAAACTGCCCATATATCTCTGTCCCTGGCTACCAAACTCCACTGACAAAAAAAACAGTCATACAAAACAGTCATTTTACCTTGCAGATCATCAATAAACACACTTATTCAAACTAACCGCACTCAAAATAAAACTCACCAAAGCAGTCTTTGTTAGTCTAACAACTGTTCCAACAAGAACCACAAACTCTGGTTTGGTTTGAAATAAATCCCTAATTCACTGATGCAGATGAGGAAAAACAGCTGTCATTCTTTGCTGACGATGCTAATAGTTGTTTGCTGCTGATGTTCCAAATCTTGTATACTGTATATAATATATCCGTGGCTCGTTTCTTATAATCAGATAGTTTAATGTTGTTTAATGTCACTGAAAAGTGATAGCATCTGACTGACCACATGCTCATTTGTGTTGCCATAGCGACACGAACGAGGTGGACGTCCCTCTGAGCACTCGGGTGGGGACGAGGCGCTACATGGCCCCTGAGGTCCTGGACGAAAGCCTCAACAAGAACCACTTCCAGGCTTACATCATGGCCGACATGTACAGTTACGGCCTCGTCATCTGGGAGATGGCCCGACGCTGTGTCACCGGAGGTACACACACACACACACACACACACACACACACACACACACACACACACACACACACACACATTATGTACTTCAAGGAACACCTCTATGACAGTGTCAACAAACATTATAGGCATCATATTTAGGGTAGGACAGGTGAACCTAATAAAGGGACCATTATGTCCACATGTTTTTGTTTAGGAGGAAAACAAACACAATTCAAATTGGTGCAGCGGATCTTTACATAATTTAGTGTAGAGCTGCAACGATTAGTTAGTTAGTAACAGAAATGCACTGCCAACTATTAATTGTCTCAGTCATTTTTCTGGTTTTAGCTTTTCAAATGTAACAATTTGTCACAAATGACAACAGATTAAATATTTTGGGTTTAGAAAAGTGTAACACCAAGTGTAACAGGAACCAATGCTCTCCAGTGGATTATCCTGATGACTCCCAGTGCATTGTGGGGATATTGTTGCCATCAGGCTGTGGTGTTGGGAGTGTTGAATTTGGTCCCTTTAGTTTATTTTTCAAACAGCAGCAGGAACCAGTGCAACCACATAGTCAGCTGATTGTTTATTATTGTAGGATTTGAACACTCAGCTGTAGGGATGCTCTGCCGTTATCCGATATTCTGATATTGTCCAACTCTCAATTTCCGATACCGATATATGCAGGCTTTTTACACCAAAACTGTTAGGTAACAACATAACATATCTCCTATTGTGGAATTAACACATTATGCCTAATTTTACTGTAATGCCCCACTGGATGAATACATAAAAGCAACATGGCTTTCCAAATGTAAACACTGTCTGTGCAAAATAAGAGAACAACTTCAACTTTCATTGTATTAATACTGGAAAGAGCTCTAACGCTAATCGCTAGCTAAGCGCTAGCTTTGGTTAATGTGTTTAATTGTATTATGTACCTGAAGGAGCGCTAATGTAAATTCTAAGCCAGTTGTTAGTTTGGTTAAGGAACAGCTCACAGCAGGGTCAAATATTTAAGGTGCATTGCACTTATTTTGTGTTAATATTAAAATCATTCAGCTTTAAATTGTTTGCTTGTTAGCCACGGTTAGCAACCAACCAGTCTAGCTGTAGTTGTTGTTGTTATACGTCATCTAGCGCGCGCCGGTAAACGTCCCATGCTGCGTTCATGCAGGCTCAGAAATGCTGAAGCCTACAGAACAAACATCGGTTATAAAAACCCGATACCGATAATTCCCGATATTACATTTTCCATTAATATCGGCCGATAATATTGGAGGGCCGATATTATCGGACATCCCTACTCAGCTGTGATTGGCTGGTGAAGATTTTGAAAGGTTTAATATTTCTCTCTGTAATCTGACCTCAAACAGGGACAATCATTTTTGCACTTTTTGCACATTTCAAACTGTACATTTTACCTTTTATATATATATTTATATATATGTTCTTGATATATTATATGTTGTTTTTATATCTGGAGTTTGTAATGAAATTAATTTCCTCCTGGGATTATTAAAGTATTTCTGATTCTGATGAGTAACTGTTGGCGGTTTCCTGTCTAATCTGATCAGCAGAATATTCTATAATTACATTAACTGGCTCCGCCTGCTGGTGAAAACATATTACTGCAGACAGTTCAGCTTATGTCCTGCAGGAATTATTATTGAACCTCTGGAGTTTTGAACAGTTCAGAGAAAAAGAGACATGAAGACCAACTAATTAGGCAATTATTATATAAGTATTCTCCTATTCTAGGTTAATGGACAATGAAAAGTAGTTTTATTCTGTTAGATTTTCTGAGCTGTGCTTTTTGATTTTTAGAAGTTCTCCAGATATGTGTGAACTCCTCTGTTCAGCTCAGTAAATAAATGTGTTTGTAGATGTTTTAACCTCTCTTTTTCTCTCTCTGCTCAGGTATTGTGGAGGACTACCAGCTGCCGTACTATGAGATGGTGCCCTCTGACCCCTCTTATGAAGACATGCTGGAGGTGGTGTGTGTAAAAGGACTGCGGCCCACAGTGTCCAACCGCTGGAACAGTGACGAGGTGAGACGCACCCACTGAGTTAAAATCGACAGGCCACTGCTGTCGTCTTCTGTTTGCTCTTCTAGTCTGTGGAATGCCAATAGCCCTGTGACGCTGTACTTTGACACAGCGGTGCGTTGAGCTACACGCTAGCATGTTTGTAGACTCTCAATCTTGTAATTCTATGAGGGAGATGTTTTATTTACTCATTGTTTATTTATTAAGGGACAGTGCGCATCAATAAGGTGCTGTAAATGTACCTGAGTACATGCTAAAGGGCTATTTTTCATCTGTGGTCCTGGGATGTGATTAACTCCTCTGGACACAGACTGACCGACTGACCTCTGAATGATGTTGGTCTAACTGTGTGTGTGTGTGTGTGTGTGTGTGTGTGTGTGTGTGTGTGGTGTGTGTGTGTGTGTCTGTGTGTGTGTCTGTGTGTGTGTGTGTGTGTGTGTGTCTTTCCGCAGTGCCTTCGGGCCATGCTGAAGCTGATGTCAGAGTGCTGGGCTCATAACCCCGCCTCCCGCCTCACCATTCTTAGAGTCAAGAAGACGCTCGCCAAGATGGTGGAGTCCCAGGACATCAAGATCTGACCACCCTCTTCATCCTCATCTTCCTCGTCCTCGTCCCACCGCCGCCGGATTCACCTGAACCCAGAATATACTCGACAGCTGACCTGGACCTGATCAGTCTAGAACGGCTTCCCCAGGCTCAGTACATCACTCTTCATCAGGAGGAGGAAGAGGAGGAGAAGTGTGGAGTTAAAGAAAGGACCCACCTCAGGGCTGAACTGTGCGTCTCCTCCTGCTTCCTCCATCTTCAGTCTGTATGGGGCCTGGAAACAGACATGGAGTCCTTCCTCCTCCTCCTCCTCCTCCTCCTCCTCCTCTTCCCTCTGTGCCCAGTGGCTCACAGGGAGCGAGACTGCCGGTTTGACGCTTTCTGTGAAAGCCAAGCGAGACAATTATTATGACAACTTCCTGTGGAGAGGAGAGGAGGGGTCTCTCGATGCTCGACGTTAATGAACCGAGAAACGTTTGAAACCCTTCTCTTTTCAGGACCCGCCTCACTAAGCCTTCCTCCACTTCTGTCTGTTTCAAAACATTAAAAATGCCAATTTTTTTTGTTATTTTCTCTTCAGGACTGAGTTCTCCTGCCATATTGAAATATATCTCCACTCTAAAAGTAGAGTTAATTATAAAAAAATAAGGTACTATTATAATATGTGAATTTTAATGTGTAAATAAATGTTATCATTAGATGCCGTGCCTACTCATAAGAAGATTGAAAAGACCAGAACACTATGCTGCAGTGGTGTTGACGTCCAGCCGACTCCTCAGAGACGTTGACAGGAGATAATGGAGTCACTATGGAGACGTCTCCCGTCCTGTCTGTCTGTCTGTCTGTCTGTCTGTCTGTCTGTCTGTCTGTCTGTCTGTCTGTCTGTCTGTCCTGTCCTGTCCTGTCCTTGTTCATGGTTGTCTGTCAGCTGTTTGTTTGGAGATCAGTTATAAAGAGGTGGAGCTGCTCTGGTGGCAGAGAAAAATCTTATTGGTTGAGTTAAACATCAGTGGGTGGAGCCAACCCTGAAGGAATACTACAGTTCTCACTCCGGTCTGCGAGCCAGTGAGGAGTGCTGTGTGTCACTTCCTTTGCTGCCACGGAAACAGGTTCAACTTGTTTTTAACTCCTTTCAGTTCAGGATGAGAAGGTCTACTTTAAACTCTTTTCATTGTGATAGGAAAGAACATCTGACAGTGGTATGTACATTCACTTTGGCTCCTCCCACTGTGGTTTCACTTGTCCAATCAGATTATTTGACTTCAGACTTTCAGAAATGTTTGTAGACGTAAAACAGAGTGTCCTGATTGGTCTGTTTGAGATTCATTTATTACAAAATAAGAGTCACACTTTCTACATTCTACAACATAATAATCACAAAATTATTTCATTTGCATTTCGGGACAAAACTTTCTCAGTAAGAATATTTAGGAAACAGGTCCAAAATGTGGTTAGCTTAGCTTAGCACAAAGATTGGAAACGTGCAGAAACTGTTAGCCTGGCACCATCAAAAGAGAAAAAGGCCCACCCTCTAACAACAGATCTGATGGTTTATTGAACCAAATAAAAATGAAATAAAATTTAGAAAATTCGATATATAGTGGTTTTAAGCAGTTTTCCCCTGTTTCCAGTCTTTGTGCTAAACTCAGCTAACCACACCCTGGACCTCTGGATGAAAAAGAAGATTCAGCCAAACTGTTACTTTGACTGTTCTGTGTTTGCTTTCTCTCTTCAGCAGCAGGACTGTGTGTGTGTGAGAGTGTGTGTGTGAGAGTGTGTGAGAGTGTGTGAGAGTGTGTGTGTGTGTGTGTGTGTGAGTGTGAGAAGCTAACCGTTCATACAGTAGCTATTTAAGAGCAGTAACTTAGTGTTTTTCTCTGTATTAAATATGCAAGAAAGCCCCATTATAGGAATAATCTCTAATATGTAAATCTTTCATGTTTTTTTGTTTCGGTGTTGTTGTTGTTTTGTACAGCATCTGGTTCGGTGCCTTATGAGTTTACCAAGGAAATGAAAACTCTGTATACAGTCTGTCCAATGTAACGATTTTTAAGTAAATAACCTTATTTTAGTACACAAACTCACAGCGTCCACTCTGCTTCTTCCACCTGTTGTTTTGATACAAAAGCATGCTTTATGTATGGAAACACATTTCTGCTAGAAGAAAGAAAAAAGGTATGAAAATAGCAACAATAGATAAAAAAATACAGTAAAAATAAATGTCAAATCTTTTAGGTAAGTCATAACTACGAGATACAATGTCCTAAATGATAAAAATATAGGGTTAGGATTATTATAGTCAAAATGTTTTTTGGCAGTTTGACTTAAAGCGGCCATGAAACAGCCTCATTTTACTACGATTACATGTTAAATTCTAATAGATTTACGGTGGGTAATGTATGCCTTTGCTCTGGCTTGCCGCCATATTGCCATTGCGGGCATCAGACTATGTTTTTTTTCTGGCTGGGCTACCCCACCATGCTCTCCCTATGGCCATATGTCGAGACTCTGGAGCAGCTCAGCAGCAGCAGCTAACCTGGGCCAACAGTAGCTATTTAGCATGTAGAACGGGTCAGAGTAAGGTTGGTAACGTCTGTATGAATGAAACAATCTGCAAAGACTGATTTAAGTTGACGTTAATGTTTCACTTTGAAAACCTCTGGTCCGTTTGAGTCATGCACGGTGCAATGTCAGAACTTAATAATGCAAACTAAACTGCAATGAACCCAAACAGTGAACTCAGTAACCGTGTAAAACAAGAAAATTGTGAGCAGATTATTTCCTGTTTTTAGGGAACTTTTTATACAATCTGTATGTATTTTCTTTATTATTTCTAACAGTCATACAGACTTAATAGACTTTCATTTGGACAAACTCTGTGTTTCCTTGTCAATGACACTTGGCCATTGTTCTATTGGACAATTTACTTAACATTTCTTCACAGAAGTGAACCAGATGCTGAGATATAGGCCTAATGTGTATATTTTTAATTTTAAGTTTGGTTACACGCCTTACAATCAAGAAGGTCATGCGACTTCATTTCAGTTTGAGACATCTTGTATTCATTCATGAGAAGAAAAAATCTCTCTGTACTAAAGAGTAATATTTGGCGGGGGGGTCTTTGATCTAATTGAACAGGATGCACTTCTCAAGGAGTCTGTAGTGTGATACAGGGAGATATAATTCCCTGGAGAGAAGGCCCAAAAGGAAAACACCAGGGTCTTTTTTAATTTTTATTTTAAATATGCCACTTATAACCTGGGAGATAAATGGCCAGAATCTGGAGATTGGTTTACAGTCCCAGAACCAGTGGACATATGTCCCCCCTATCAGAATGGCACTTGATGCACAGAGGAGAGAGGGAACGATGTTAAGTTCACGGTAACGGGTGACTTCCTCAGTCTGTCTGTTACATGTAAATGTGGATCCTATCAAGTCTATAGCTGCCTGCCAGTCATTTTCAAAATATTCACTACCTAAGTCTCTTTCTCATTTACGAGAAATATTTTTATAATTCATATGTGTCAGGGGAGCGGAGAAGTGAATAAAATGGAAGTCCAATATAACAGAAAAAGAGGTAACCTGAGAAGATAGAAAATGTCTCATTTGCAAATAACCAAAGAATATCAAACATCTCTTGTAACTGTTGAAAGGACAGTATAGCATTAACTTTAAATTAGTCACCAAGAACATGAATCCCCCGACTCGCCAAGAGTAGAACAAAGAAGAGCCGCTGCCTGCAGGAAAGTCAGGATTTTGGACTATGGGAAACAGCAAGGATTTCACAGTTTTCCTTCCCAGATATTTAGTTATATCATGCCAGACTCTGATACTGTTGTACATAATTGGATTGTGCTTTAATTCTGAATTTATCTTATTTGCATCACAAGTGACCAGAACAAAATACCAAAATAGGCATAGAAAGGCCACCCATATCTGAAGTTTTTTGCCATGCCAAATAAAGTCCTGGTACAGAGGGAGCATCAGCAATGCATATGAAGGAGAATGACTCGACCAATTAAGGGCAGTTGTAGATTATGCCATCGCTCTAGGTCTTTTTTTTGACTAATGTGCAGATCCTTCAGATCTGGGGGTACTTTTATTCCGAGATATTTTAAAGCGGAGCTCGTCCACTTAAAAGGAAAATTGTCTCTAACTTCTGTGTCTTTCAGGGTTCCTAATGGCGTAGCTTCAGGTTTACTGAAAAGGAAGTAGCCAGCCACCTAGCGAGAAGTTTTGAGAGCAGCTTGCTGTCGGCTGATAGGTCTGTGGGAGCCACACCGGAGGTTCATCTTTCTTCAGAATGACAGAGATATTAGCAAGGCTTAAAGGAGGGGGGAGACCACCCCTGTTAAAGGAATCTGAATACATATCTTTGAGGGGGCCCACTAGCAACTTACTGAATTTTTTGTAACTTGAACTTTATCCTGTCGAGACATTTTGCTCTGGCTTCGGCATAGGGTGTGCATTCCAAGCTATAGAGGTCTTTAGAAAATAAACTTGATTTATTTATGTAGGTGGATTTAAGGTGTCTAACCCCATTCTTATCTATGAGAGAGGGGATATTTGGCTCAGTTTTAACACGAGCGAGGCCATAGTTACACTGACGAGTCCAATATCCTGGAGAACCTGATGTGGGATTGAGAAAGATGTATATTCATTATCCAAGGGGTGTAGTACCATCCAGACATCATACAAATCCAAGTCATTAAGAAATACACATATTGACCCTTTTTTTTGTGGAGAAACTAGAGGGGCAGGGAGAGTTAAAGTCACCTCCCAGAAGTATGTAAGGACAATGTTGCTAAATCTGAAAGAAGTTGTAGGATAGAGGAGGCTCATACGATTCATGTACGACACACACATCCAAGGACAATATGTTCAGTACACAGCCTCCCTCCTTATCTCTTATTGTTTTATCAAGTGTAAAGGGCAAGAGTTATGTGACGAGTAGAACACCTTGACCCACCCAGTTCCTCCTTAATTTAACATGTTCTATATCTGAAAGGTGGGTTTCTTGGAGAAAGGCTATATTACATTTTATGTTCTGAAAGAACAACAGGATATTCTGACATTTGGTGACATGGTTAATGCCCTTCACATTAAGTGAGGTAATTTTTAGATCACTCATATGTTTTTTTTATATTATGTACAACAGTTGAAAGGTCGTAGGTTGGCACTACTACCACACAGATAAATGCATGGGCAGCGACATATCACATACCTAAGGGCCGGAGCAAACACAAACAGGAAACATAACACGACAGAAAATGAAATGAAATTTCAGCAAGGATCCATCCCCAAACAATGGATCAAGTGCCAGCAACAAACAGAACCCCTCAAGAACAAATACAAACATGGTAACTGAGCATTAACATCTGTAACCTACTATTACGTAAGAAAAGTAGCATCTGACAGCGTGCAGCAGAAATCCTACTCAGAACCTCTGGAATTCCCCAAAAAATAAAATTCAGTAGTCCAGAGAGGTAATCTGGAAATTATGTATCCGGTTCTATTCAGTGTTACTTGTTAGTTATAAACAAAAATAATAAAGCAGTGTCTCTGGTGGGTCCATTGTTGCAGCTAACTGTAGTGATGTGTTGTTGTTATGAAGAAAGCAGTTTGAGGCTACCAACTTTATCTCAAATGTCTAGCTAATGGCAGCAGCTTCACACAGTGCTGTAATGATTACAGGTTATCTGTGCAATAACAGACATTTAGCAGTGAGCCTCAGTGTTGTTTATAATACAACAGGAGATGATATGAGTATTAGATGTTACACTGGACCTGCCCTTATATCCTCAGCAGCTGCTCGGTGCTAATCAAAGTTACAGTTTTTGAAAAAAACTACACAGCTCTATTGTTACCTCCTTGTGGGAACATTTCAGACACATTTCAAAAATAAATAAATAAATAATCCAAAATAAAGTATGTATCTTCCTCTGATGATGGGAGGACATGCAGACTTCTGTGCTGGTCCCTGCAGCGAACATCAGGGCAGCTGCAGCACTCAGCTCCAGGCTTTCAGGAACAGCCAGGGCTTGCAGGCCAAACATGGTGCACAGCAGCAAAGACAGCTCTTCTCCGTGGGAGGTGGTTAGTCAGAGGGGAGGTGGTGCTATGCAAATGTAATGCAAATTCTTACCTAGGAAGGGGAGCAAAATCTGAACGGAGCGTTTGAGCTGAGGTATTCTGACATGGCCAGTCCACTAAAAAAGGTTGAGGGTTGATTTATTTCACAGTTTCTGTGTTGGTAGGCCACCAATATACCCAAATATGTGTGTACAAACATTAGAAAAGTGCATTTTGCATAATATGTCCACTTTAAAAAACAACCTAGAGAATTTACGTCAGTAATATAACAAAGTAATTTAAAATTACTTTTTACACTGAAAAAGTTTCCAGTTCCATATGAACAAGGACATTGTCAAAAAGGAAATTTTTAATAAAAACAAGAACAACACAAATAATTCCAACTGCTGTTACTTTTGTTCCGACTGACGGGTCCACAGTAACAATGAACAATGTCTGTTCAAAGTCAAATTATAGTTGCTTTTATAATTGACATGCAGCCTGCCAAAATGTATTCCCTCTCTATACTGCTTAGTCTCTGCCCTGCCATCAAGATATTTTTCAAATGCTCCATATCTTAGCTGATAACCTTGATGAATATGAAGGCGTTTCTTCTTTCCTAGATAAACGTACAGGGGGACCCACATTCTCTGAGGCTGAATCTTCAACCTGCCACAAAGTGTAGCCCCTCTCTATAAGAGACAAGGTCTGACATCTTATGAAAGGTTCTTTAAACTTTTGATTGTTCAAATACTATTCCTGTTTACAGGAATTACATTTTTTGTTTATTTAAAGGCACACTATGCAAGATTTTTACCTTAATATAACAGCTTCGAAGTCATTTCGATGGTAAATGAACTCGTAGTACAGCAAAACATCCCGATAGCAAAGCAGGAGAGGGACGCCGCTGGCAGAACCAGCAAGTCTGAAAGGTGGCGTCCCGCCAAATCTCGCAAGAATCACAAATTGCTTTACGGCGCGACGTCACATACATCAGCGACATGAGAA